CAGAAACACGTGTAGTAAAATTATGGGAAACAAAGAAAAATATTTTTTTCTAAATAAATCCACATTACAACCAAAAACGTTTGCGGCACCTCTCTTCTTTTCTTTTTAATATACATACTTTTCTCTCTTTGGAACCACTACAACCTCTTTCTTATATATATATATATATATATATATATATATATATATATATATATATAATATATAAACTAAAGCAGACTATACTGTTTTCAGCATATACGTGTTTGCTTATATTAAGGATTGAAGGCGACTGATTTTCACACGACTCGTTTCGTTTTCTCTAGTCAACTCGGCAGAGGGGTACCCTGAAAGATGAAATTTGAAATTATCTTTTCAAACTTAGTTGTACAACTGACCTACAGTCCCACAAACAGGTGTGAATATGGATCCGTCTTGTGATAAGCGAGACCGGGGTAACTATCCCCGCAACACACTTGTCTTAGTGGCATACAATCAGGGAATTGGCCCCGGGCATCACCGAAATGTCACCAAACATTATCAGACCTCTGCAGGTTACTGTATAGAAGTGTTGTTGATAAGCAATTTATTAACCATGCAAAAAAAAAAAAAAATGTTATCATTCTAAGAAATGACTATTTAAACACTTTTCAGATAAAATATTTAAAAAATACACAATTTTAGAAATGTGTTTTTTACAGCTTTTAAAAAAAATATTTATAAAAAAAAAAATTGCTCATTTAATTTATTTGACAAAATTCCAACAGTACAAAATGGGCGTTAACTCTTTCCCGACACTGATTATTTCTGGATAACAAGTGCGACTGCAAAACGGCGGTTGTGAGTATTCCTAATCCCCTGATATCGTGTGCGAAAACATAGTTCCTGTGATGCAGACTTCTTGATTCTGAAAGGTGTGTCCCTAGTTGGAGTCACAGCCGTTCGTTGTTAATGTTGCACGTGTCGCTGATCTCCGAAGTTTATGTGATATACTGGTGATAAATGTCTGTATTTTCAAGTACCTTCGTCTGTTAGTTACTTTCATTGTCTTCTTTCATTTACTGTCCGTAGTTTCGGGCGATTTTATCCGTGCATCCCGACGAAGCTGTTGTCCAGTGAGACTTAATGGTCTGACCCTCCGTCGAAAACAAGAATATATTCCATTTGAGCGCAGGTTTATAACCAATAGACTGGTGTTGTGTCTCTGCGGGGAGGTGACGTCGGGTTATGATTTCCAGGGCACAGAACAAAGCTTTACGCTATGGGATTAAAGAAAGATTATTTACAATGCATTTTAATAATTGCTTTTATTATTTCTTGCGATAACTTGTAATCAGTAGAGTAAATGAAACAGATGATTTTTTTTTGCTTATTTTATATGCCGCGTCCCTTCAAGACACAGAGATCATAGCCCTCCACAACTTCCTATCTCGTGTGGCTTCTTTCACTCTTTTTGCTAAGGCTTCCGCTAACACAAGCTCATCGGGAATTTAGTTGTCTTCAGTATGCACCGTAGAGCAATAGATAGCGACTCGGATTGAGGAATAGGAGGACCCGAGTTCGAATTCCAGTCGAATCCATTACATTCATTTACGTGCTAATACCCTTGGGAAAGGTATGAATCTTCTATTCTCACCCCACCCCCAGCAACGGGTAAATAGCAGGACAGACCGATGGATGGCAACTGGTCTACCGCAGAAAGGAATGGCAACCTGCTGAGGGAAAAATCTGCCTCGTCAGTCATGTATCGAAAGATACATGATCGGCTAAATGTGTATCACGTATGGCACATAACTGACTGATATTCACTTGCGTGCTAATACCCTTGGAAAAGCTATGAATTCTCTTCTTCTCCCCCCCAGCTATGGGTAAATAGCAGGACAGACCTTGTTCTATAGCTTTGGATGACAAGTGGTCTACCGCAGAAAAAAACGGCAACCTACTGTGGGAAAAAAATCTGCCTCGTCAGTCATGTATCGAAAGATACATGATCGGCTAAATGTATCACGTATGGCACATAACTGACTGATATTCCCCCTTGAAAAGCTATGAATTCTCTTCTTCTCCCCCAGGGGTAAATAGCAGGACAGACCTTGTTCTATAGCTTTGGATGACAAGTGGTCTACCGCAGAAAAAAACGGCAACCTACTGTGGGAAAAAAATCTGCCTCGTCAGTCATGTATCGAAAGATACATGATCGGCTAAGCGTGTATCACGCGTGGCACATAATCGATTGATGCACCGTGGTGGTTTAGTTTTCCGAACCTTCCTTCCTCATTATGTGCAAGAAATTTCTGTTGTTTCTGAGCACAAGTGTTCTTTCTGTTGCCTTATTCTTTAAGAATTACTTGTTGCTTACTTGCTACGTCCATGGAATTTTCAGTATCCTTCTGTGGAATTACATTTCGATGACCTCCAGTTTTCTTCTCATATTTGCTGGAGGGGGATTGACCAGCATTCACTGCAATATTCAATACAATGAATATCACATAGAAATCCAGAATTCTTAAATTCTAACAACATTTTTCTCTTCTTCAGCATCGTGCAGAGTTTTTGGAATACCTCTTTCACTTGTCCAATACGTGTTCGGATCACGGTGTTGTCTTTTTTTCCCCATCTTCTCTTAAAAATCTTCCCAGACATTTGAACTTCTGCACCTGCTTGATGTATCTTTCTCTAATTCGAAACATTCATTTTGTTTTTTTTATCTTTTGTTAATGACCATACATTATGTCTTTCTGCAGTTGATAGTTCTTTTGTCACGCTTTCCTCTACCAATCTACGATGTCCTGCAGTTGCTAAAAATTTTTTTTCTGGAAAGTTTTTTCTTTTTATGTGTCGAATCCCTTCACTATGTAGGCGATCATGGCCCTCCACTTATCCCTTGTAGCTCCCATTACCACCTCCCCAAACCACGTTCTGTCATACACTCAAAACCTCCAGGCATGTCATGCGTGGCTTTCCCTTGTCTCTCTTTCCTTCCATTCGACCGGTGAGTATCAGATTCTCCCGGCCACCAATTCTCATTATGTGCCCCAGAAATTTCAGCTGCCTCTTCCTGATGTTAAATATAAGCTTCCTCCTTGTTTGCATTCTCTTCAAAATCTCATCGTTGCTCACACGATCGGTCCATGACATCCTTAGCATCCTTCTGTAGAACCATAACGCCATTGTCTCGAGTCTCTTCTTCATCTTTGAGGAGACCGTACAACATCCGCCTTTTGTCTTATTTTATTTGAAACGTATTCTATAAGATTTAAGGAAGGGCTGGTCATTGTCGTATCTAATAGAAGTCCCCCGCCCCAAGTGACTTCGTCTTTGTTTGGCCTCCCATCTCCCTAACTGACCACAGCGCATTTGGGTCCCTGAAATGGAGACCTATTTTTAGAGTCTGCTACACTTTTCACTAAATGACCAGTGACTCTAGGTTAGCAAGATTTAACAAGAAATTCCAACTGTGGAAAGTTACTGACCCGAATTCTAAAAAAATATACTGTATATTTTTTATTTCCTGGGGGGAAAAAAATCTCTGGGGTATATTAGTTTGCGACAATTTTTTTTTATTGTCAGTCAGTTACGTTCCATGCGTGTTACACGCTAAGGCGATCATGTATCTTTCGATACATGACTGACGAAGCAGATTTTTCCCTCAGCAGGTTGCCATTTCTTTCTGCAGTAGACCATTTGCCTTCCAAGGATATAGAACCGGTCTGTCCTGCTATTTACCCATAGGTAGAGGGGGTGGAGAAG